TTCTTTTTTATCCCAAAGCATTTATTTCTGTTCATTAGGTCTTGTATTGACTATTTGCCTCTTTAAGCCTCTTATCACCAAAATGGGCATGGCCAGAGGTTACGTTTTTTCCACACTCTAGTTTCTTATACATAATTTGTTTAAAAAAAAAAAAAAAGAGTAGCTAAGTCAGCCCTTGGCAAATCTGAGAAAGCATATTGTGTAATGCTGGGCATATCTATAAATGAGCTCTGTGGATAAGAACTAGACTGAAGGTTTACAGAGAAATGATGCTGATGTCATTCCATTGGAATGTAGGGGCTGTTACAACCATAAATACATTCTATAGCTAACAGCCAAGTGTCTGGCTGTATTTCTTTTCTAACAAGGAAAAAATGTGAGACAAACCAATGAAATAAATTGTGTTTATAAAGGGGAATATTTTAATTAGTTTAGGGCTTACATTTATTCAAACTTTCTGAACTTAAAATTCTTTTTGGAACAAACATAAAGACTATTACTTGTGGAAAATTTAAATTTCACATGATATGTCTTCCCTTGAGTGTATGTGTGTGGGGAGGGGGTGTTGAGGGGGGACTTGTCCTTATTTTAAAAAAGAAAGTACTTGCTTCTGTGTTTTTATTTTAACCTTCCCTTTCTAAAAATGCTTTGTTTTCTTAGGAGATTTGCTCTTAAGGGAATATAGACTTAAGCTGCTGTATCTTGCTCCCCCTCCCCCATTCCTTCTTTTAGCATTTCCAATCAGGATGGTTCTGAGCTCACTGGGGCATGTTTAAATGACTAGAGACTTCCATCTTAACTCCTTTTCAAGAAAGAACAAACTCCCAAATATTTGTACTTTGGCAAAATAAAATGCCCCTTCTCTTTAGGAGCAATGTCTGAGAATATCCTGGAAATTTTTTTAACTGATTTACACTATCTTTACTGCAAGGAAGAGGCTTTCAAATATTAAGAAGTAGTGATGTGAAAGTTGGGCTGTCATGTCCATCAACTTCAGCCATGGTGGCAAACAAAAATGAGATAAGTGGGAAATGGTTTTAATTGTTTGCTTGCTTCACAGCAGTTTCAATATAAAGAGTAAGAAGTACAAATTTGGCTGTAAGATTTGCCTCTAGATTAATTTAGTTGCCACAAAGGACAAGGAAGAAGACAGGCCAGATAAGGAAGAAAGAGTAGCTTGCCCTAGAACTTTGCTCTAGAACCTTGCATTTCTCCCTCTTGCATGATTATCTCTTGTTCTGTTGGCACACACCAAATTATTGAGGAAAGGGAAATAAAAAGAAACATGATATAATTTTCTTTTTCATTATGTAAATGATATCCCAAAGGCAAATCATCAGAACTACCTATTTTGTTAATTTTTTAAATGTAATTAGCAGTTTTTCCTTTTTCTCCTCTTTTACAAAATGGTGTGTATATATAAGAGAGACAGAGATAGGGAGAAAACAAAAGTATGGAAGCAAGCAGAAGCTTGATTTAATGTCTGAAATATCTCTGTATAGCCAGGTTCCAAGGCTCTTTTATGGTAAGGTTGATAATTCATAGACTACTCTGAGGTATAGTTAAATCTTACTTAGGTAGGCTGAGGTCTGAGGTAACTGAGTTATTTAAGTCATAGAGTTTAAATTTTGGCCTTTTCATACTATACCGTTGCTTCCATACAAGAGTTTATTTTGTATGTGGTAAGTAACTGTCACTTTAGCTCAGTTAAACAGATTTTATTTTCAGTCTTGTTTGTGTGCAAATTGTGTGCCTGGCATTATTTACTTTTTTCTCTTAGTCTGTGGCAATACAAATAGAAAAGCACTAAGTAGATGGCATTTTTTTCTTTTTTTCCGTATTCACAGTTTAGAACCTTGAAAGAATGAATGAATCCAGACTGGCTTTTATAACCACATTTCTCCTGACATAATAGGTAGGGTTTGTTCTGTCACTGCCTTTCCTCTCCACACCCTACCGTTTTTTTTTTTTTTAGTTTTGATCTTCTCAGAAACCTTTGTCTATTTTACTCTATTCATGGCCCACTTTTTCTTATGCTTCCTTTTCTCAAATACCTTCTCCCCAGATCCAAGGCCTTTGCTTTATTCATTTGATAGCTTTCTCAGTGTTTAAAACAAACAAACCAAAAAAAAAAAAAAAAAAAAAAAAAAGGACCAGCAACACAAACCCTCTCGTGGGACTTAGAGGGTCCCTTTGTCCCATCCGCCTCAGTGCACACTCCCCCTGTGCCTCAGCCGCCTTCTCTCTACTCACCATCTCCCTCATGACCCCCAAGTCTCTATTTATTTGTCATGATTCAGTAGAAGATTTTACTTGATTTGGCAACATGCACCAGATGTCCACACTTTGAGCTTCAGTTTCTTCATTCATTCTTCAACCTTGTTCCTGAATCAACCAATATCTGCAAAGGTGCTGAGCAGTAGAAGCGAAAGTGTGATGTGCAAAGTAGACTTCAGTCCTACCTGAGGCCAAGAAATTCCATCTTGAAGGGATATTGTAAAACTTAGCAAAGTGGTGTTACTTTGACTAGCGCAGAGCTAGGCGCTCAGAAAATGTCAGCTTTGTCATTAAAACCTAAAACAGACAAATAAGGGAAGTTCTGACCTCTCCTTGGAAGTTGTTTTCACTCAGGCAGGACCTTTTACTTTATTTCAGCTTTTACCTAGAACCCTTTCTTTTTCATTTTAAACAGGTCTGTCCCCATTTTCCCTTTTTCTGTCAAATGTTTTACTATTCTTATTTGTTGGAAAATAGGTAGTGGGTAGGGTCTCCAACTTCTATAGAAAAAAGCCTCCTTTTACACTCCCCCTGTTTTCAAGCCCTAGATCTTGAGTCTTTTTTTTCGAGACTCCTGAAGAGTCTTCCCTTGCATAGCTCTTTAGTTTTTCTCTTCTTTCTTTATTGAATAGGTGGTCTCTGTTCTGGTCCACACCTTTATTACTTCAAGGACAAGGTCTGACTTCTTGTCCTTGAAGCAGTCAGTCATGAGAGAAAGAAACAATGGTCTCCTTTGACTGGTTGTCTAAATGTGTCTATTTGTGAGAGTGTTTGAAGCCTTATAGGCCTTCAAACCCTAAAATAATGGAAGATTGAGAAAGTTTTGTCTTTACCAACTTAACTAATTGGTAACCAATTATTTATCACAACCATACTTGTACTTCCTTTCACTGACAATTCTTAGATGTACAGTATTTATGGTTTATTTAGTAGGAGCTACCAGGAAATGTGAAGGAATGTACACTCCTGACTTATGGGTATAATCTATTGTGTCTGTCTTTTCATGAATACCAAATTATAAATGAGTTTGTGGTGTCTGGTCTTTTGAATGAGAATTTTTAGTTGTATTTTAAGAAAATATGATATTACTGACAGCCCATTTTTTTCACTAAAGCAAAAGGTAAACATGTTCTGCTAGACAGAATACAATGAAGAACTTGAGCCTTCTAAAGTTAAGGCTGGCACAAGTAGAAAGAAGTTGTTGTTGCGTTTTATAAAAATTTGGTACACTGATTTAGTCAACAAATGTCTATTGAACGCTGAGCATGCTGCTACTGTGCTAGGTGCTATGAACTAACAGGTGTACATGCCTCGCTATGGGGGTTGCAGGACTACAGCCTCTGCTGACCTGTGTTTGTACAGTTCACAACTATGGTGGTGGTTATATTTATAAGTGGGCATAAAAATCAAGAATATGTGGGCATCCCTGGTGGCGCAAGGGGTTAAGATGCAACCTATGAAGCTATCCGCAGCCACTGCAGCATGAGTTCGATCCCTGGCCAGGGAGCAACCCAATGGCACAGCAGATCTCTCCTGACTTGCCCGCTGCTCCCCTCAGCAGTGTATTTCAGTCAATCTGCCTGTTCTGTTCCCCATTCTGTCTCTAGTGAGACACCCCCCCACGCCTCTGGCCTGTACCCCAGTTCCTGTATGCATAAATAAATCTTTTAAAAAAAATCAATATGTGGGGCCTCCCCGGTGGCGCAGCGGTTGAGCGCTGGGTTGCGAAGCTGCCCGCGGCCTCTGCGGCGCCGGTTCGATCCCCGGCTGCTCCCCGGCCACCGGAGGAGGGTCCCACATGGCGCGCAGACCTCTCCTGCCGCCCGCTGCTCCCCTCAGCAGTGTACTTCGGTCCTTCTGCCTGCTCTGCTCCCCGCTCTGGCTCTGGTGAATTCTCTCACCCTCCCGCGCTTCTGACTGTACCCAGTGCATGTATAAACAGAACAAACAAACAAACAAATAAAGAAAGAAAGAAAACATGCCTCTATTAAAAAAAAAAAAAATCAATATGTGACAGAGGTCTTTTCATGTGCCCCATAAAGCTTAAAATATTTACTATCTTGTTCTTTACAGAAAAAAATTTGTCTATACTATCTGAATCTTTGCTTTCCTGAAGCTTATATTTTGATAGGAAGGGCAAGTAATAAATAAAGGGACAAGGAAACCAGGGGAGAATTAACATTCAGACTTTCATAATAGGTAGGAAGGAAATAAGTAGATATGGGAATGACTAGACTGAGGCTGGGGCAGGGGTGGGCATGGAGGTGGGATTGTTTGAAAAGGTAACTGAACAATAACAACAAATAACCCTGTGAAGAGCTGGACTTACTAACCCAGTCTCACTCTCTATTCAATTTTATAATAAAGATTGAAGTAAAAATCCGAACTCACACCCTTTAAGAACTTGCCACTGTCTCTGAAATGTCATCTCATTGCTCTCAGCTTCTGTTGCTGTTGAATTATTAGGTGGAATTCAGTGTTAGTCATCTTCTTGAATATATAAACCTATGTAGCATATAGCACTTGCAATAACCACAGTGAAATTCTTACACCAAGGACATCCCATTTCTAATTGTCATTGTCTTGTTGGTGGTACCAAAAATTCCTGGTTACAGGCAACTGATTTAATGATTGCCTTGGTTAAAGGCCTTTGAGAAAGAATGTGACGACCTTGCCTTCTAATATTATTAACTTTTTCACTTTTTTTCTCTTTTGCCATGCAGAGTATGAGCTGGAAGTAAAGAGGGTGCAAGACATTCTTTCAGGAATAGAGAAGCCACAGGTATGTCTTCTGGATTTCTCAGCATTAATGACATTTTCAAGAGTGCTTTGCCTTTACTGTATAGTAAGTAAGCAGAAGAAGCCCTTTCCATTGCAGATTTCCCATGAACTCTGAAATAGTGTTATTATTACTGGAACATGAAGATAGAGAACAGCAGTCTAATGTTTAGTCATAATCAATTGACGTGTCTTCTTTATTTAGTTTTTCTGAATGCAGTTGGTTATCCCCTACCGCTATGAATGTTACCCCTTTCTTGCCTGTACCCCCATCCAGTATTACAGAACCCTCTTCTTTTGGTAATTTTCTTTTACCTGTATAAATTTGGCAGTAATAATTTCTTAAAACCTCACTAATTCCAAGTGTTTCTCCAGGCAAATTTCAGAAAGATATTTAAATATTAGCTGAAAAGCAACACCCAAAACCTTGAGTGCAATGCAAGAAAAATAATTGGTGGAAATGGTGATATTGAGAGGTTTTAAAAGTGCTTTGAAATTCAGGTGAAAAATTCAAAATGTTAATTGAGTCTTTCATCTGAGTTTAGAGAGCCAAAGTTCTTTGGATTGTTTTCTAGCTGATTTGGAAAAGCTTGATCTGTCATGTGTTTCAAATCCTGAGACTTTTTAACAGAAGACTCCAAACATGCCTCAGGGCACGTAGTTGAGTTTGACTAAACCTAAAAGAGTGAGGTATGTTGGGGAACAGGCACAGTAGGGCACTTGCAGAGGAGTGGCTTGTTGCTGCTGGTTGAGGAGTCTGCACTTAGTCTGTTAAGGAGCAGGCTGCCATGGAGAATTTTTGAGCAAAGAAGTTATGTAATCAATGCTCTATTTTCTGGATGATCAATTGGTAGATGAGCTGGAGTCAGAAGCAGATGAACCCAGAGAGAGACAAGTGTTAGGAATCCATTATTGTAGTGCTGCTGAAAGGCTGTGGCAGTCCAAGTTAGGGTGCTGACACTAAGTGTGTCAAGGGAGAGGCTGGATACCGCTGTGGTCCTAGAGAGAAACTGATTCGATGTTATAACATATTAGATATCTGGTGTCATGGACAACCAGGCTTTCAGGCTTAGGTGCCTCCTCTTAGGAGTTGCTTCCTCAAAGATGTCTCCCCTGATTGCTGTCCCCATCCCTGTATTGTGATCTCTCCATAGCACTTAGTGCCACTGCAGCCATGCCAGCTTCACTGTGCTCTGCCTGGATTTAATACATTGTACACCAGTGTATTCTGTCTTTCCGAATAATCTGTGAGTTCTTCTAGAATGGGTCTATGTCCATGTTCTTCTTTTCTCTTCGGTACCATTCTTGGGCATTTTGAGTTTATTTTATTTGCCTGGCATCCAGGAAAATAAAGGTAGTGGGCAGTAGCAAGTGGCTGGTAGATCAATGCTATGGAGAGATGAGAACAAAATATTGATCAAGAGATCACAGCTATAGGAATGATAGTTCAGCGATGGATAATTACGTTAGGGGTGAGAAGTGGAATAATAAGAGAGATTAGAAGAGACTTGAGACCAGAATCTATTTTTTTTTTTTAATTGGGTAAATTGCGTAAGTTCAACAAGCCTCAGTTTCCACATCTTTGAAAGTTAGAATAATAAATATCACATGGCACTGAAAAGTAAAGTTTGTGCTATTTATAGAATACTTGTTGTGGAGTATTTCTTTATAGTACATAGCTTATCACTTCTGAAATGGGAAGGAGAAATGTCCCAACTTCAGGTGCAGAGCCACACAGAAAGTTGGGTACACGATTATAAAAAGGATAGTTTTAAATTTTCGTTTCTTTCAGTCACATCTGGTAACACCTCTAAATAAAAGGCATATATTTTTCTTTGAGGTATTTTTTTTTGCAGATGATTTTTTTAAGTATAGCAGCAATATTTAGGGCTTATGGATTCTTGTCATCTTCTTGTCTCAATCTGTGGGGAGCCTGAATTGAACAAGTCATTTACTCTTCAAAACCCCAATTCTGTTACCATCCAAATTCTTAACTCTTGAGTAAAACAGGGGACAAATATACTAGGTGTTGTCCTAAGAGTGTAGTATATGATGCATTGGGGACTGCACACATGTAGCCACCACCATATTAGAGAAAATAATCATGGTATTATTCTCAGTGGCTGTTTATTTTCAAGATGTAAATAAGTGTGACCTGTCATTGTGCTTCTCTTTTTATCTGATAATATTTAGCTTATAGAAATAGTTGATATGTTGGTTCCAGAAGTGAGTAAACTGACCTAAGAGGAATAACTGTCCCTGCAAAAAGAAATTCCTTGAAAGATAAACAGCAGCAATCTGAAAACAGATGTGTTATGCATAACATTTTAGAAATTATAGAAGCAGATGGTTATGAACTTACTAGATTTGAAGGTGTTCTTTTTCTTTGAATAATGATCTCTTTGACCTTCTGCTTTTATATTTTCCTTTGTGTTACTATTTTTCATGATGGCACTTTTTAAATGAAGCCAATATTTCTATGGATATATTTCCTTAACACACTCCCTAATTGCCTCAACAGGCATCCCACATGGTTAAATTCCAAGACCAAACCAAATAAGAAGCTGCTAACTTAAGTTAACAATCTAATAGCTTTTTGAGAACAAATGATATGGTTTTGTTCCAAGTGAAATCATTTGCATATAATTTAGGCTGAGAGCAAGACAGTAGGGTTTTACGAATGGTGTTAAATACTGGGGTGAATAGGAGCGAAAAGGGCCAAAGAGACAGAGAACTAAGGATTATATATCATATTGCTGCAAGGTAGCATAGTCTTATCATTCCCTAATATGCGTATGTAAACATAGGCATTTTACTAGCAACTATTGTCAAGTTGTTGTCTATCTTTAATACATACATAAACAAGAATGACTTCTAATCAGTAAGAATCATTAAATGGTAGATATCTGGTGATTTTATGAGTCCTTCAAGATACAACAGAGCAGTTTAAATAATTTCTGTGCATGGGCCTCCCCAGTGGCACAGCGTTTGAGCGCTGGATTGTGAACCCGGCCACCCGGCGAGGGTTCCACATGGCGCGACAGACCTCTCCTGCTGCCCGCTGCTCCCCTCAGCAATGTACCTCGGTCCTTCTGCCTGTTCTACTCCCCGGTCTGGCTCTGGTGAATTCTCTCACCCTCCCGCGCTTCTGACTGTACCCAGTACCTGTATAAATAAATAAATCTTTAAAAAAAATAATTTCTGTGCAGACTTATATTACCAGTGTTCACAACAAACCCTTTTGAGGCAGTAGTACTAAAACAAATGTCAAATTGGGCCATGTCCAGTAATTTTGTAACTAGAAACCATTTTTATCACCATTGGAAAGGAGATTGACTTCTATTTACAGTAGAATAAGTTAGTTGATTTTATGGCTTCTAAACTTCTTTTTTTGGATAATAATCAGGATGATCAGATTAGCCTTGCACTAGTGCAGTTCAGTGTTAGAACTGGTGAGAACGTTTCACCACAGAGACAGACTCCTAATGTTAGGGGGAAAAGGCGGTCCCAAAGCAAATTCCATACAGGCTTTGTGGACTCCACCCCCACCCCAGGTCAAGCCAAAGACACTGGGAACTCCAAATCCCATCACCACCAAAGGGAAGGTGGCTGGGACCTGAGGGTGGGGTTAAGCAGCCAGGTGGATACAAAGGGCAGACATGTGGGCTTTGGGGGCTCTCTCCATTTTTTTGGGCTCTTGGCCAGCAGCAGCGTCCGGTCAGCTCTGAGAGTGACTTTGGGGTTTCCAGGTCGTCGGATGGGGTAGGACGCATTAAAGACTTTATTTCCCTATTTTCTCCCTGAGTTGTACATTTTCCTTATTTCCTTTCCTCTTGTAAATAAACCTTTTATTAACCCTTTTGTGTGTGTCTGTAGTAGAGTATTCATAAGTCCCTTTAAAGCGCGCGGGTGAGGACCCACAGCCAGGAACCCGTTTAATATCGGGGTTGCTCTATAACACTAAGATGAACTGTTTCTCTGAAATACACTTGAGCCCAGCAAAAGTTCCTAGAGTTCAGAATCTCTTGCTAAGGTTATCACCTCTCTGGACACTAGAGTCAAGGCATCCACTGCTGAGGAATCCCCTTTATGTGACATTCTCTCATGTAATATCCTGGCATGGCCTTGAAATGGAAGTGATTTCCAAGTTCTAACAGAAACAAAGCCCTCTTTCTGTTAGGATTCCAAAGCCTAAAGAAAGAAACCTGAGGCCCAGGAGTTAGTGAAAGGGAGGGAGCCAGGAGCACAGGAGGGGCTTGGCCCAGAGGGATGTGGGTGGCAGCCTGCTTAGCTAGAAGGAAGAATTTTCAGTAGCTGCTGTCCTTTAAAATGATGCTGAGATCTCAAAAATGCACTTTTGATAGGCCAGCCTGTCAAAGTAATGCACGTGCACCGAGGTATTTGTTCAGATGACATTTTGCATCCTTAAAGCTTGCTCAGGGAATCTAGGGAAAAGGTGAACTTACGTTAGTTGATGTTGATGCTTCAAATGTTCTTCGTCACTATTGGAGTTATAATTTAACCAGTTCCTAAAGGAAGGAAGTAAATTCTTAAGAGCTGATGAAAAAGATACAGTTCAAATTGATGTGAATTTATGGTTTCAGTATGAAGTGCTGGCATTTGACTGAGCTGTTTGGAGGCGGGATGTTATTTCACACCACTATTCATAGAATTTGTGTTACTACATACTGTGCTCTTGGAATTGTGCAAATGAGCCACTTATCACCTCCGTTGAATGTCTCGCAGCACTTAATCAACCTTCTTTTTAATTATCAAGTGAAGTCTTCAACTCATAGTATTATTTTAAGTTAAAAATCATATATAATGCCCAGTACCTCAAGATGACTCATTAAAGACATGAGAAAGAATTCAGCAAATACACCAGGGAACTTGGTAGAAATGCTGCCTTAAAATCTCATCAGGGGAACAACCCAGAAATAACTAAAGCACAGTATAGTGAAATAAGTACTAATCTAGGTACCAGCAAAATGAGGCTGGAACACAAAGAAAATAGTGATTGATTCTGAACAGGGCTCAAGCTGCTTTGGGTTCCTTTGTGTTCAGTATACCCGCCATGGGGCCCCTTGTGCATTGGTCTCTCCTCACCAGGTTGGTGCTCATTGAAGCAGAGACCATATCTTAATCATCTTTGTGTCCACAGCCCCTCACAGGGGTAACGCCTGATGATTAAAAGAATAAGCAGAGGTAGCATTTGAACTGGGTGTAAAAGAAGGTTGTTAAAGCCAAGAAAGCGGCAAGTGAAAAGCTAAGTCACAGCATGAGAGGGGCCAGCATTCTGTGGGGTAGCACTGCTGCAGGACATGGGGAGGGTTCCGGAGAAAAGAAGCTACTGTTCTGCAGCCTTAGTAAGCAGGGTCTGCTTTGATTCTGTAACAGTATCTCATCGGATTTTTAAAAGCTCACATGTCCTCCACTATGTTGCCTGTATCAGAAACTAGGGCCATCTTATTCCCTTTGATTTTAAATTTTTATTCAACAAACATTTATTACAGAAGTCATTTGAATATCTCTTCGGTCCTCTCTCTAGGGGTCCAGTAGGAAAAGTAGACAAAGGCCCTAAATGTGACTAGCAGTGGCAGAGACACCAACCAGGTGTTGTGGTTGGCACCTGCTTGGTATCTGGTGGGTGGGAAGGAAGCTAGCAAGCACTCTGTGATTGAGGCCCTGTGTTGGCAGGGGCAGAAGCTAGTGGTGGGCCTGTTAATGAGCAGGTCTTGTAGGGGCAGCACTGGCTTAATCCTGCCATGCATGACTGACAGCACGGAGTATGCCTCTGTGAGGTTCGAAGTTAGGGAAGAATATGGGGGTGAGGGGCTAAGAAACCTCATGTGGCAGCTAAATCAAAAGTTAAAAGCAGAGCTCAGAAAAAGGTGAAGCTTCTCTACACGTACATCCCCTGTCAGCCCAGCACTTTGCTTTACTCACCTATCACTGGGTTCACCCAGGAACATTCAGGACTTCAATGCATGTGGTTCAAAGGGTGTTGCCTCTGAAGGATGACAATTGAGGCTGCCAGAAAGTACCTGTGGTGGTGGCTTCTTCCACATTTTGTGATAGCTATCTTGGAGCTCATTGGCATCTCACATTCAGCCCTTTACCTTTAAATACAATCCCCAAATATGAGAGATTATTTAATTTTCTGAAGGATGAAGCGTGAATTGTATTGTAAGGATGTATGTGTCAGGTGCTATTTTGGACATTAGGACTTAGACGAGAGCGCGCCCTATAGGATATTTTTTCATTGTAGTTAAAATTATTTGAGTTATTATATGAATTTTATTTTAAAATTATTTGAATTATTATATGAATTAACTCTTAAGGTAGTTCTCTGCCACTACCAGTAGTCATTTTGTGAAAGGTAGTGTCTAATTAATGCAAAATGGATTTGAATATTTCTGTACATGTTTCCTTCCTCAGGTTTCTAATATCCAGGCAAGAGCAGTTGTGTTGTCCTGGGCTCCCCCTGTTGGACTTTCCTGTGGACCCCAAAGTGGCCTTTCCTTCCCCTACAGTTATGAAGTTGCCTTATCAGACAAAGGGCGAGATGGAAAATACAAAATAATTTACAGGTAATGTGTATTTCTATGTGTTTCTCTCTGCTGCTAAACTGTGAAATTTGAGTCAATAAAGAAAATGGAAAATTTTAAAGGCTTTGCCAATTTCCCTTTAAATTGTTAATTTTAAGCATTAATGTAACTATAATGTCAACAGGTAATTTTGTGTAAAGTATTTATCAGAAATGAAATGTGTAGGGCAAAAAGTGAATATGGCTCTCAGTTTTTACACATATCATGCACTCATTTCATTACATCTTCTTAGTCCCAGACCTTTCTCTAATTTTGTTATTAAAATTCTACAACAGAGTTGCCTTCCATTTCACTTTGCTCCTATCCTCCACTACAGTTTTCTGAACCTACGATAAAGATTACTTTAAAACATTTCATCCCCAAACTTTCTTAAACGGTCTGAAGTTTAGCATGCAGAATAAGGGAATTAATCTCTCCTGTTTTATGGACTCCTTGATACTAAACATTTAAATGATTTATAGTTCCAAATGTGATAAAAATTTTAGGATAAAGTCTTCTCTCCTTACTAATTGTGGGCACTGCTGAGATTTGCAGGGCAGGAAGTGAGAAACTCACTCTTTGTTTGAACTACTTGTTTGGCCTCACTGTGAGTGGCCCTGGAGTGACTGGCCAAGCCCAGGCTAATGTGGCTGTACTTATATTTCCACATCTACCTGAGTGGCGGGTTTTCTTTGCTACTACTGCTGCATCAGTGTTGCAGACCTTCTGTTTCCCTAGCCCTGATTCCAGTTCTTGTACTAAGGACTTGTATTCTCTGGATAAAGAAATGGAAAAGAGGGCCTCCTCTGTGGTGCAGCAGGTTGAGCGCAGTATTGTGAAGCTGTCCACAGCCTCTGCAGTGCGGGTTCGATTCCTGGCCAGCCAGGGAGATACCCACATGGTGCGGCAGACCTCTCCTGTCTCACCCGCTGCTCCCCTCAGGAGTGTTTTCAGTCCGTCTGCCTGTTCTGCTTCCCACTCTGTCTCTGGTGAATTCTCTCACCCTCCTGCACCTCTGGCCTGTACCCAGTTCTTGTATAAAAATAAATAAATCTTTAAAAAAAAAAAAAGAAAAAGAAATGGAAAAGAGAGAGGGAGGGAAGTCTATTAGTCGCTCTTTCACTCTGGTGCGTTCTCTGTCCCTCCACCCATTGTGCATATGTTGTCTTTTCCCTGCACTCTTACAGGAATCTCTCCTAGGGGCTTCAGTAGCCACGCCGGCTCTGCTATAATCCTGTCTCCACACTGCAGAAATTGAGGTCAGACTGTATCTTTCCCCTACAGAAAACCTGTCCCACTGTGATTAGAATAAAAAACTAACGCCCTTGGTGGCTCACAACCTTTTGGTTCTATTTTGAAAAGTCACAATTGTTGGAAACCTTAGAGAAATATAAAGCACCATTTCCCCCATCCCCACTAAGAAAGAAATAGATTCTATCAATGCAAGATGACTTTTGCTGGCAGAAGCTAGAGTCTCAAGTGCTCACAGTGCCTAGCCAGGTAACGTAAGTGAGAAAAGTTGGAAGAGTGGAAATAAGGAGAACAGGAGAACTCCTCTGTCTCTGAAAGGAGTAGCCCCAACTCACTTTAAATGGATTATTACCAAAATGTAGGCCTACATTTGCTGATAGGTTGAATTTTAAACAAAGAAATGCTGAAAATATATATATTTAACTAAATTTTATTATTATGTACTTTCCTAATTTTAATTCCGCAAGTTCATTATAGGTCAAAAAACAAAGCTACAGGCAAGATGTGGACACTAGCCCCTAGTTTGCAACTTCAGAAATATTTTTGTTTGAAATAGTTTCAAACATTGCAAAAATAGAGATCAGAAAATAAGTGCATACTCTTCACCCAGATTCACCTGTTAACTTTTTACTCTATTCATGCTACTATTTTTACTCTATTTATGCTTTGCTATTCATGCTACTCTCTCCTTTTTTCCCTCTCAATTTGTATTTTTTTCCCATTAGTTTTCTGTATAATGAATGGCTCTTTGCTGCTACATCACTATATTTCCTAAGAATAAGAATATTTTCTTGGGCCTCCCCGGTGGCACAGTGGTTGAGCACTGGGTTACGAAGCTGCAGAGCCGGTTCGATCCCCGGCTGCTCCCCGGCCCGCTCCCCGCTCTGGCTCTGGTGAATTCTCTCACCCTCCCGAGCTTCTGACTGTACCCAGTGCATGTATAAACAAAACAAACAAACAAACAAACAAATAAATAAATAAATCTTTTAAAAAAAAAAAGAATATTTTCTTAAAGAGCCACAATTCGGTTATCAACTTCATGAACCTGCATGATAAAATATTTTTATCTAGTCCATCACCCATTATTCTACTTTTGTAGGTTAACTAAATAATATCTGTTGTAGAATTTTTCTTCCCAATAGGACAAGATCCTATCTAGGGTCAATTATCGAGTTAAGTTGTCATGTCCCATCAGCCTTCTTTAATTTGGAACACTTCCACAGTATTTCCCTTTTATGACAAAAAGACTGATTTTTTTAAAAGTCATTCCCCTCCCACCCTCCCCATACACCCTCTCCTTGCTTTTTAAAAAATTTTAATGGAACATTCATTTTTTTTTTTTAACGGTTGTTTGCTCATAATTAAGTTGAAGTTCAATTGCAACCTCTGATCATATACATGATTTTATCTGTCTATCTGTTGCTAGCTAGCTATCTAATTTGCTTGTTATTTTTTATTTTTAGGTGTTTACTTTGAAAAAATAACCTTTAGAATTATATTAGTAAATTAACCCTGCCATTTTCCAGATCTACCATGGCATTATTAAAAGGAATCTAACTTTCAGGACCAAAAAGATACTAATACCAACTTTAAAAGTTTATTTGTTTTATGGTGGAATCAGACACAATAGTTCTTGAGTCGTTGCTGATATATTACTATGAGACTCAAACTCAGAGTCTGCTTTACTTTTGAAACTTGATCATTGACTAATGAATGATTTTATTTTATTTTTTTGTAGTGGAGAAGAATTAGAATGTAACCTGAAAGATCTTAGACCAGCAACTGATTATCATGTGAGGTAAGTTCGGATACTAGAGCTAAACTATACTGGAGATTTAAGATTGCTAAAATAAACCAAATGGTTCCTCTTCAAAAGTTTTTCATTACTTTTATTTGCCTAACTGAATGTTGCAATACATTGGCTCACAGTCCATTATATTCTGTACTTAAGAGCATAGTGATTGGGAATACACAAATGTGTATTTTGGTAAGAGAAAAGTAGATGATACAGTGAACAGAATTTTTAAAAATTATTTTTAGAAGTGATTTTTTTTTAATGTAGTATCTTGTAATATCCACTGGGCTGTGTGGTTAAATATATAATATTTTCTTATTTTAAAATGAATAATTTTTTTTACTATAGGTGTACCAATTATTTCTCTTGGACTGTACATATAAACTGTATGTTCAGAATTCCCAAACAACACATTTGGAACTTAGAATACAATAGGTTTTGAAATAATAAAAATACTGTCGATATTAAATTATCTATGATACAAATTAACCCAATTTTAACTTTGGTCAATTATGTAGAATTCCCTAAGACAATGTTCTGGCTAAGAAAGGTAGGAAAGGATTCAAGTTATAGCTTACTACCTGTAGAAATATTTAAAGCTAAGTTCAAAGCAATATATAAGAGAGCAAGGTGTTTTATATTCAGTCATAAAGTTTACGTCTACTCAGCTATAGTATTCTTTAAATACAATACTGAAACTGTCTCTTCCTGTTTAAATCAAAACTTCTGGATTTTGAGTCAGTTATTTTCAGCCTGAATATGCTGAAATTTTCACAGTCTGAACAAACAAAAAGATTTGTATGATTTGTGAAGCTGAGATGATAGTAGAAATTCTTTAACCTTTCATTCACATGGTTGATTTAACAGTGAACCAGAAAATGTACCACTGTGTAGGGAGTTATGAGTTTCCTTTTTTTCCTCCACCTTTTATAGTTTATAGTTATTGCTTTATTTTATTAATTTCCTGCTTATTCATGAGCTCATAACACCCTTTCAAAGAGATTTTAATGTTATAAAGCATCTGCTGTTAAATACCATTACATCTATTGCTTCACCTTGTTTCTTTTAAGTCCTCTTAATAAAGGGTAAAATCTGAAAACACTGCTCATCAATTCTTTTTACTGCCATGTCTTATGAACACCTTGAACTTGTGGGTAGATAAAAGGTGTAACTAATAAATTTCCCCAACAGGAATAGGAGTGTGTGGTGGTTACCTTCTAGAGAGACCTTCAATCTGGACCTACTCCTGACACATACGGAACCCACGCTTGACATACATATGTGACACCACACACACACACATAGCCAAAGGCACCACCAACTGTTATTTGGTCTTGCTCTCTGTTTTCTAGAGAGAAAAAATTATCCTCCTTTTTGGATATGATCTCATTTGAGTATGTAAGAAAAAATTCTCTCCTTATATTTACGGTCAAATATTAGGTTTTTTTTTTTTCCCTGTCTAGTCCACAGTTCCTATAGACTATTCATTCTCTTTCCTTACACCATCTTTCATTTTTCAAGCTATAGAAGATGTTCACATTCCAGCTCTTAGATCCTGCTTCCTCTGCCTTGACTGTTTTGGCAAGCAGCATAATAAGCATAATGCATCATGATAAGAGCTCAGAATCTGGCGTTAACGGCTCAGTCACTGAGCTAAGGACATATGCTTAAGCAGGCCATTTGAACTCTGGCCTTAATTTCTCATTCATAAAATGAGAATCATAATGATCCCAGTCTCAGAAAAATGGTGTAAAAGCAAATTAAATGTGTGTACATATCTTTTATAAACCTGTAGTGTGTATAAATGTTGTGTTCGTTTGTTTTGTTTTTCCAAAGCGATTATTAGTTTTTGCACACACTAAAAATAAAAATGCCTTCGTGAAGCAGAGTCTTTGAACCTGTGTATAGTTTGGCCTTATCACTCACTATTTTATTGAGATGAAGGTGTATCATACTTAGCAGGGAAGGGAGCAAAATCTCTCTTACGATGCAGATCAGTTAACATTCTGAAAGTCTTAGTTCCAGAAATGTGAACTTTTATCAAACACAGTAGCTTCAAATATAATCTTAAATTTGGTAGTCACCTATAAGACTTCAAAGTGCTCTGTGGGAGTAATTATTAAATTTCTGTAACAGAAACTGCAGAAGAATTTCATTAGTGTACAACTACAAAATGAGCAGTTATTTTCACTGCCATTTTTATTTGTTTATGCATTACCAATTTAGAAAGTGTCATTCTGGTAGGAGGCTGTAGAGCCAATGATAAAACCTGAAATAGTTTTTTTAATAATACCAAATAGGCTGCATATTCCTCCCAGTTTTTTATATTGTACAGTTAAAAGCCTGCAGCAGTCTCTATTCAAATCATTCTTCAGTTGAGTGAAAGGTGTCTTTCAAGTATCATACATTGAAATCTCTCCCGGGATTTTTATTCTTATGTCTCTTACTGCTTTTGGTTTTGCTATTCTGGTTCCATTTCCTTTACACTGATTGCCCAAAACCTTTATGTAATATTTTTTGTCATTTTTTGACTTTTTCCTCCATCGTGATAATGACTGTTTTCTGAGCTTGCCAGTCAGATACACAAGCTTTTTTTCTATAGGAACAGTCTTTCATCATGGAGTCTGGGCTTGACATCAATTACCAGGCAAGAACAACTCTTACTGCCACCACTTCACTGTAATTTGGAATAATTTATTTATTTATTTATTTATTGTGCTCTAGAAAAGAGCTTTATTCTTTTTTTATATATAAATTTTATTTTTATATTCCCCATACAATTTCAACCCCCCCTTATTCTGACCCCAGTCCCTCCCCTCCTGCCCCCCACCCTGGAATAATTTATTAATTAACCAGTGGCATCCTTGAGAGTGCTACAGATCACATATCTGTGGCTGTTTAGATTGTCACCTGCCATACCAGTTAGGTCAAATTCCACATAGAAAATTGTATCCTAAAGTATTTCAGGTTGTGAGGATTTTTATCTTTCTCACTTTTTGCTATAAATTTTTGTATATCACTGCTACACATCCATCAACTACTGCTATACCAGATAGGCTGCATTTTCCTCCCAGTTTTTTATATTGTAAAGTTTAATTAAATATTGATAAGTATTATTCCTCTATTATGTTGATTTGCAAAACTTCAGTGTTGGGCCTTACATTTCATTTTTATTAAAGTCATCACTTTTACATTTGTTATGCAGTTCTTAAATTTTTTTTTTAGTTTAATGTTTTTTTTAGCTTAATGTTGGCACAGTGTTTAAGAGGAATCAAAGTGTAGTTGTCAATGTGTATTTATCTAGTGCTTCCATACAGAGCATTGCATTGTATAAACCCGTTATATGCATTGTATAAACCCATCAGTGCAAAAGCTCCTGTGTGTGTGTGTGTATGTGTGTGTGTGTATGTTTATGAGAGAGGGTGTGTGCATTTGGTTGTGTTAAGAAAGAGAATGAGAACAAGTCAATGCATAAATAACATTTTTATAATATTCATGTAAGTATGTAAGTTTAAATATATTCATTTATTCATACTTATGCATACATATTCATACATATGCAAAGAAAAGTCTGTTCCTCTTTTAATTGATAGTTCATCATTAGTACTGTCATTGAAACAACCATTTTACTATAGGAATCAAGATTTTGTAATTTTATCAAAGTAGGCTAACCAACAATTTGAATGATGGGATGAATAATAATCTCATGACAAAATTTGAGACAGTTTTCCAGTCATTGGCATAAGTAATTTGGCAAATAAGTTGCCCAGAGATGATATCATGTAATAACATTTCCCAGAAAAAGTATGTGATGTAACATTTCCAAAAATATGGTTGACCAACTCAAGGCAGTGTTCTGAAAGAGGTGTTACTGACCAGAAATTGTGGCTCCAAGTAAGTTACAGGTGTGCTGGAGAAAATTGGGGGCAAATTTCTAAAATTCTTGGAGCATCTGTTTTATAAGCATTTAGTCAATATGCAAACTCAAATAAATGTGGAAACTCAACATAAGATTAACTTTTATATTGTTAGAAAAATATATTCTTACCTGGTATAAATATTGCTAATTTATTGAACCTAAGAAACTGATCCTACTTTACAAATCCTCCTATCATAGGATGATATTTAAAAATAACATGTTATCATCATGTGAAAAAAATTGATTGAAATATTCTTGAAAATATCCTATCATTTCCAGAGACTTTTTTGTGAAAGTTATTGATAAAAATAGAGCTGTTTGTTATTATGGCTAGTTGTTATCTATGTACTTAACAATTTTAACTGACAGGCATAATCATGGGATACTTAGATATTATGTCAAATTTTAGGAACTACATGTAGCACATTTCTATTGCCCTATAATTGTTCCCTGTGGACAGACATAATTTTACAAGTACAAAGCATTTACTCCTAATTTAAGTAAACTAAACATTCTTTGAGCTTAAAGAAAAAGAAGATGATTCCTGTGTGGTACATCTACAGCCACACCAGATACCTACTACTGCCATCCAGTTCTTAATACATCTGCTGTCATCCCTGCTTGCTAGAAACCTCCACCACTCATACTTCTCTGGCCAAGATGTGTGGATTTCTGGCTATAAGATCTCATTAAAAAAGAACAACAAATTTGACTGAGTCCACATCTCCCCAGATAATTCACTAAGGTCTACTAGTACTTTGTAGAATCATCCCTTACCTCCCATCTCTGCTCTTTTATCCAGATAGAATCTTGGTGCTGTTTTTGTGAACATTTAGGACCTGATCTACCAGAGTATGGTCTACACTGTAGACAAATGCCTAGTGATTGCAAACTGAGTTCCCTTTTGGGAACCTAAATGAATAAAGTAGTTGGGTGAAAGGCAGTTGAAAAGCAGTCTACCCCAGGAGATACACCACATAGGGGAAGGCTCCAATCTAGCACCTGCCCGATTCAAAGTCTGAGCTGCTCTCAATTTTATCTAATTACTTCCATGCAGATCTACTACTCAGTATTGCTGCAACTTTTAGTTTTTAAGAGAAACCAGAGGTTCAGGTTTTTTGTTTGCTTATTTTAATGAGAGATCATCAGGGTTTTTTTCAACATTGACTTAATTTTTATTTAAATGAACCCAGCTTATTTCCGTCTTGCCTTGTCTACCACCTACCCCCATATTTATTTTGAAGTCCAGACATCATCATTTTATATATAAACCATGTTACCATTATCATACACCCATGCAAGACAAATAAAAATAGTAATTTCTTAAAATCTTTACAAACCACAGACTGTTTGCATTTTCTTAACTATCCTAAAAATGAAGGCTTGTTTCATAATCTGAATGTTCTGCTTGTAAATTTGTTTTTCTTTTTATCTGTAGGTTTTCCATCATCTCTTTTTTCTCCCTTTGCAATTTATTTATTGGAATAGTTTTGTTATTGTTGTCCTATAGAATTTTCTGCAGTGTGAATTAGGCAGAATGCATCCTCATAGTGTTGTTTAATATGTTTCCCCTAATGATGGAGAGCATTAGATACAGGTTCATTTTCTCTGGAGAGAATGATCTTGCATTAAGAGTACATGATATCTGGTTATCTCTTTGTGATGATCGTTGCCTATGTCCTTTAATTCATAGGTGGCTCTAGTACTTAAAACACTGTATTGCTCCCCTACACTCCACAGCTCCCACAGATGTATCTTGGACCAGATGAGTCCCATTTGGAGAATTCTGATCTATTACAGTTCCAACTAGAACCTTACCTATATCTGGAACAGTCTATGATTCATTTTAAGTGTTTTATTCCTAGTGAGCCTGTCCTGATTACATGGTAATGATCTTGCCAAATCTACCACTCAGTTGTATATTATTATCATGTGTCTACTTATAGTGAATGCAAAAAAGGGACATTTCTTTCATCAGGTTGGATATAGTGCATGCTAACAGTAAACATCCTTTGTTTGGACCAAACATCTTCCTCTAATATGACAAATAAGTCAAATATCCTCTAAATATGTATTTTACCTTTTAGAATGGAAAGTAGGCATGTCTGTTGTTATCTCTTATATAACCTCTATAAATTTTTTTTATGATGAACTTTGAGGAGAAAGAATATTGCAAATCATACATCTAATTGGGACCTATTTTTTCTAATGTTATTTTCTGCTGTTGTTTGTGTTCATTGGATAGAGTGAGGGGAAATGAGTTGTGAGTGTTTAAAGAAACATGAGTAAGGACAGTGGGCACTATAGTGTGCAGTTAGGTTTCCATGACTGAGTACAACTGCTCCAACTTTCTAGTTTTGTAACTTTGGGAAATTTATTTTACCTCTCTGGTCTGAATTTTCTGTCTTTAATGGGACCTCATAAAGGGTTGTTACAGGAATTAAAGGCTTGATATATATTTTCCAACTCTGAATAGCTTAATCCTTGCATCATTTTTAAACAGCAAAGGTTTCTTTGTTGTCTTTGTTAAAAAAGAAAAGCACGGTTTAACATTATTTATTTAAATAACCAATATTTTAAACCTGGAGAAGTAGAAAGGAAGATACTAAAAATCAACATAATCCTATTTTATGCTGTTTGAAAGGAGTGTGGTATTTAATAGCACGTTATAGGTTTTTTCTTCACAGCTTCTCTGGAGAAATCGGGCACATATGTTCAGTGTTGAGCCAGGCATTTTAATGTGGAGACACACACCTTTAATCTTGGCACCAGTTTTAACAGTTAAATGTTCACATGGATAAACTGTACCTGAGCATTGTTTTTGTGGAGTTACAGCAGTGCACTGGCTGTAGCAAAATGATTCTATGTGTGAAATGTTCCTATTTCCACTTACTATGTCTGGTGTTATAAACAGTTCAAAGACAGTATTGACCCCCTGTTTTGTATTTATGTGATTCTCTGTCTGTGGAATCTCATTCCTTTTTCCCTTTTCACGCAACTTTTAACTCTACTTTCAGCCCTTTTCCAGTCAACCAGCGTGGCTTGTCGGTTTTAAAATGTATATTTGGAAACACTCTGGGCTTTAAGGTTTATTTTCTTACTTAGCATATTCTTTTTCATTCAGTAGACCCTGTCTGCCTTAAATGAGACTGGGTGGTCTAACCATTAGTGGAAGGAGCAAGCTTACTGGGGTGGGACACATTCCCTGGAAATGCTGACCACGGGTCAGGATGAGACCAGCAGATAAGAATCAGTCATGGGGCTTGTGACATAAGAAATTCTGTGCCTCTGTGGAAAGACCCAGGACAAAGCTAAGATTAAATAAAAACCTTGGTCTTGTGTGATGGGTCCTACCTCTGACTTTGTCTGTTTTGTTTTCAGGGTGTATGCCATGTACAATTCCGTAAAGGGATCCTGCTCCGAGCCAGTTAGCTTCACCACCCACAGCTGTGCACCCGAGTGCCCCGTCCCTCCCAAGCTGGCGCATAGGACCAAAAGCTCGCTGACCTTGCAATGGAAGGTGGGTAGCTTAAAGCTTCCAGAATAGTCTGAAGTTTACAGCCATTTGAAAGATTCAATGCTGTTCCGATTTGGTCATGGTTTTCTACATAGGAACTATGCAAAACAAATTATTATATCAAAAGTTGCCATGTCTTATAAATTTGGGCAAAGGGATGGGAAAGAAAACTGCAAAATCAAACTTAGGTCTCTTGGGCCTCCCTGGTGGCGCAGCGGGTTGAGTGCCGCACTGTGAAGCTGTCCGCAGCCTCTGCAGCGTGGATTCGATTCCCGGCCAGCCAGGGAGATTCCCACATGGCGCAGCAGACCTCTCCTGACTTGCCCGCTGCTCCCCTCAGCAGTATATTTCAGTCAGTCTGCCTGTTCTGCTACCCGCTCTGTCTCTAGTGAATCCTCTTACCCTCCTGCGCCCCTGACAGAACCCCAATTCTTGCATAAATAAATCTTTAAAAAAAGAAACAAATTTAAGTCTCTTTGTAGAGAAATTTGGTTAAGTCTCTTGGAATCATAAACAATACTTTAGAAGTGACATGAAAATTTCTCATACCTACACTTCATCATTTTAATGATTTCATTCATTTCAGCAGACATTTGAGGACTTCAAAAAAGAAAGATTTAGAGATAATGTAGGTTTATGCCTATTGCCTTCTTTCTGTAGTGATCTGCATTGTTTACCGTTTAAAGCTACCTAGAATGTTTCGTATTCTAAGCTACATTAACTTCAACTAATTAGGCTTTGTATCAGTGAGGATTGCTACTTATTTTTTAAGTGTGAATTATATGATAGTTTCCATGAAATACAGTTTACTGTATCACTATATATGACTCCTGCCAAAGAGAGGTCCTTAAGGGGTATGATTTGCTTATTAGTCATAGTTTTGTGTGTTTGCAGTGAATTAGTAGATTACGTTATTCATCTCTATACAATGATTTCTGTATTTGGATATTCTATAATATAGTTTAAAATATAAAATTTATATAGATAGAAATAGTAGAATTTTCGTATTTGGGGTGATAACTAATTTGTGAAAGAAGTAAGATGGCTAGGGAGATCCATTGTTGAAGGAATGTGTTGTTTCCTTGGCCAGATTTATCTAGGGAGCTGATAAAGCAATTAAGAATAGTGGTTAACAAGAGAGCATGGGCTTCCTTAGCCCCTCTCATGCGGGAGCTGCATTCTCATAGACAGTGGCCAACAGTGAGAGAGTTATTTGGACAAAGGCAAAGTTTGAACTGGCTTAGAATCTGAACTATTTTATTTTCTTTCCTGGCTTCCAGGGATAATCCAGGTCAGTGATTCCCCACCTTTTCAGAGTTTTAACACCCAACTGGTCATCATTGTTTAATTCCTTGAAACATACACATCTATTTAAAAATGTTTCTTATATTTAAACATACCTATGTAAATATATCTTACAGAAAGAATTAAAATCTTATTTTGTTTGGAAAATATGATAAGAAATCTTCTTAAAATTACCAGAGGGACCCCGGGGTCTTATAAACCTAAAGTTGGGAATCACTGATAAATACTCTGCTTAAAGCCTGGATGAAATTCAGGTCTCAGCAACTTCAAGAAACATCAAGAAAAAGTTTTTGTAGGAGCAAAATGCTTCAAGCTCTACTCTTAAACTTAAAATGCCTCTAAAAGTACCATGTGGGTGTAAAGGCAGAGGTGGTGGGGAAGGCAGGTTTGATTATTTATGGGGTATCATTTACTATTAGTAGGCCTCTCTTTTTCCCCTGAAGGGAGAACACATGCCTATCATAGACATTATATTTAAACCAAGTAGATAACCAAGTAGATGAGTTTTATTTGTGAACCTCTTTCTCTAATCTCACTTTATTATTTTTTTAGGCACCAATTGACAATGGTTCAAAAATCACCAATTACCTTTTAGAATGGGATGAGGTAAGCATATTTTTATATTCATCCATCTAAAACACAATTTCAAAAATAAAATGCTGAACAAATGCCATTTTATTCTTTTTTAAAGATGTGCTAAACGCAGGGAAAAAAATGTAAGTAGAGAAAAATTTAAACTAATGGTTAATGACTATGAAAAATGAAGATGGATTGAAATGGTGTAATGAATCGTGCATTGAATTGTATTTACTTGATTTATTTTTAAGAAATGCTGATACAGGGTCTGACCAGTTTTGGAATCGCTAGTGTTTAGCCAGCCATTAATTAGTATTAAGAATTGACTGCTTTGTCATCTTGACTGCCGACGGCCATCCTGCGTAGATGTTTCTGCTGTGGTACACCACACTCTGGCTTGGGAAGCATAATTTGTTTTTCCTTTTTGAATGCCAAGTGTGTACTTTGATGTTGCACTGTTGAGTGTTCTCTGTGGGGGAGTGGAACAGTACCTAGAGGTCACTCTACTCTTGTGTCATCACCCCTGTGGGTTAGACCATCCTGTGACAGGTGACCCTGTTTTTGTTTCCATCTCCAGAGGCCCCTGGATGAGGTGAAGGTCTTGTTATTTTCAAGGTCATTCTGTGCTGCATGGTGACCTCGTACACAGTGCACTGTGCACAAAATCTCAGGCAGGCAACACTTCGTGCAGAAGCCATTTGCTTTTAAAAAGCAACTGTACTTTTTGTTCCTGTAACTCTTAACCCCATTCATTCACTCTTGCTTTAATCTGTCTTATTGTGATTGAGCAAACAGATTAAGGATTCTTAGAACAGAAAATGTGAAATAAAAAATGTGAAATAAAAATGGGGGGAAATAAAAGGTAACTTGTGTTTATGACTTAAATTTAAGGATATTGAAAGATTGAGAACACAGGCGTAAGCAAAAAGTGACTTTTCAAGTGTGGAGCAACATTTAACCAAATGTAAAAAAAAATCCTCTTGATGAAGTTTTGATGTGACAAAGGGGGCCCTTCACCACTTTCTGCAGAAGCATATTTTCTCATTTGCCCTGTATCTGAACAACTAGAGTTCTAAAGACAATGATCTGTTGTTCTTAGAATCCTTGTGAATAGTTTCTGTGAACAGATTGGTGAAATCTCAGACTTAAACTGACACATTTCACAGATTAGGTAGATTTCATTTTAAGGTGGTTTGATTGGAAAGTGAAACCACCCCACGGCCCTTGTGCAGGCCCTTTTTGCAGGCAGTCAAGAGAGTTGGAAAGGAACTTGGCTGAATGTGAGCATAAATGGCACCTTCCCCTCTCCTCTTCCTTTGTAAGGATAAGAGGTTAATGAAAGTTTGTTTTTTTAAGTATATTGGTTTGTTGTACCGACCTGATGTTTCATTTCAAATATCCTTTCAGGACAACGTGTGTGTGTGTGTGTGTGTGTGTGTGTGTGTGTGTGTGTCTGTCTGTGTGTGTGTGACTCTCTCTCTCTCTCCTGTGTTATTTGCTGTTTCTCTACCTTGGACCATGGCCTCATGAGTTACGCAAGGTCAGAGTAGTTGAATATTTGAATGGGAAACCAAAGAAAACCCAGGTGCTACAGGAAATGGTAGTGGTGACTCAGTTTTGGGCCACCTTCCCTTTCGATTTGTGTTGACAGTGTCCTGACGTGATGCTAGAAGGAAATAGCCACAGCCTCACTTGAAATGTAGAAGCTATGTCTAATGACCGCTTACATTCAATGGCACCCAGTATAGCCTCCTAATCACAAATTGTTAATTCCTTTATTTTCGGCCTTGTCCTGTCTTTCCCCCTATTTGGTATCCTTCCGTCTTTTCCTCGTGCCATTTTAATTGTTTTGTTTTTTCCCTTTACCCTTTATTTTGTCTTTTAATAAATGTTGGTGGTGGCTCTGTTGGTCTTTACTGGAGCTTCCAGGTTAATTGACCATAAGCCTTTTGCCAACATTGTATTCCTTTTGTATTCTGTGGCTTAGCATTCACCATCTCGAAAAACCTTCGGAACCTTAAACTCTGAAAGACTCACTGACCTTTAGCTACGTTGAGTTCTCCAGAAGCAGGGGATAATTGAAGGCCCTCCCAATTAGGAGACAGGGAATCTGTTCCATGTTTCATGCCAGGCATCTTGACCTTGCTGACCTGAGCTTACCCTTCAGCTCAAATGCCTTTACATTATTTGTGCTATGTCAAAACTGGTTATTAGGAATGACCCAATACAAAAGATTATTAGGGGATCATTTTCTCTGTTGTTTAGCTGTTTATTTAGTCATGATTTTGTCATTTTTGGAGTATACCTTCCTGTGCATCAATACTGTTCTTTGTCCTGTGAGACAACTATGACATATCAGAGATAATGTCTTTGTGCTGACAGCTGAAAAAGCTAATATAATACTATGCTCTTACACTTTTAAATAGACATAAATAAAACAAACTTATCCATGTGCTTCTCAAATTTTTCCACCAATTACCTTCTTGCTTTATGGTATATCTCCCTCAAGTCCTTTCACGCCCCCTAAAAAAGATTAAAAAATGGCACCATTGGATTTCCTGGCAATGAGAACACAAGCTGTAGTGTCCAATTTATTCCTGCCCATCCTATCATTTCAGAAGTAAAATTTCTGACAAGGCAGTTTAACAGTCTGTGTTTCAAAGATAATAGCCCTCTTGGGGACAGCTCAACACTCGGGTTGTTTTTTTTACGTCCTGTTCCCACATTACTCAGACCTTGGTTTCAAGGAAGAAAATCAAACGTACAAACAGAGAGCAATGTTTGACCTGCCAGGAGTGTGGGCACATGAGGCTCCAAAACCTGGTGGATTGTGGAGCCAGATGCATCTGTGCCAGGGCTAGTCCCAGACTTTGTGCCGGTGGAGTGGTGGGAAATGAGAGGGCATGTTTCACTGGAATGACACCTCACCCCCTCCAGTGACAGAGCTGTCCTCTCCCAGGATAACTGTCCCACCGTATGCCCATAGTATCTGCCATTCAGGGGGCTGTAGAACAAGTGTGAGGGACAGGACTCTGGGGTGCATAGTGGAGCAGATCACCACCTCAGGGAAATGGCTGGCCATTGAGAGCCTCCAGGAGGCTGTGTCCAGCAACAGTGCTCTAATAGTTTCTGCCCCGGTGCCTCATCTGAGAATTACCTCCCCGGATGAGGTGGCCTCATCTATGCATGCGTCACAGTGAATGTCCGGGTGTTGTCAGACTTTTATCTCAGGATGACAGCACTGGTTAGTGTTCCCAGAATACTTGATTCTTTTGTTCACTTTTTAATTGTCCTCCAACAAAACAATTAGTGTAAAATTTTGAAGTATTGGTAAAATAAGAGCACAGGGCATCAAGTCCAGCCATTGAGCGCCTTAGAAAAGACCTTCACAAAAGTGAACAGTAGCAGAGAGGAAAGTGCCTTCATTTCTACTAGGGCTGGGCATGCCGAGTTGACCTTTGGAGGAGCCACCTTAAGCAAAAGCTGACTGCCAGCTGGTCTCTGAAGGCAGGTGTGGCCCTAACAGGGAACAGAAAACAGAAACTTGTTACAGTGCAGGGGAAGCTGATACACCATCTGTCCTGTATTGTCATTACGTCGTATCACTCACTGCCCCATAGAATCACTTGGAAGTTGCTCACTCATAGTTCTGCAAGAAGCTTTAGCTGCCTAATTTAGTGCTAATTTGATGGTCTGCATTAAAAATTGTAACTAGGCAGTCCCTTCATTTTTAAATCACCGTGGGAGGTAACTGAGATGGGAACAAGTGACTAAAAATGGAGCACACAGGTGGCACTCGCTTTTCAGCTGTGGCCATCAGTTTTGTTTTTCCCCTGAAATAGCTCAGTTTTCACAAATGGGAAAGGTTTGGGCTTCCTGACCACTGGCTCCTCATGGTGACAGCCTTCAGGCCTAAGAACTGTTTTTATAGATCCATAGCTACTATTTCCTCCTTCAGGCAGGAATGAATAGAAAAGCAAAGACTATTTTCCAGGTGATTTGCTCTTGACTCTTGGATGACCATTTTTACATTCTAGTGTCCTGATCACAGTGTGCCCCACTCTCATGTTTACGTTCTCTCCTACAGGACAGTCATTTTGAGGCTGGCAGAAAGAAGGTCTGGAACATCATAAGGGTTTCTCTCTCCTGCTGGGTTTGAGTATTACACCTAATGTTGACTGGGAAAAAAGAGAAAACTGCTATGAATTTTCAGTTTTATCCAGAATCATAAGTAGGAGAAAAGCTTCTCGGTTTTTTAATAACCAAACAACTGTTTAGATGCCAGATTTCTCAAGGTGGAGATTTTTTCCAACTATGGAGAGAGTAGGGGTTGGGGTGAAGTAAAAAAAGGTAGAGATAATGCTTAAAAGTACACACCCCCTCAGCCACCTCAGAGCCAATATCTCTGGCCTTCCCCTGCCCCCATGTTGGGCATCTTCTGAGCTAATTGGTCCCTCCTGGTGCTTTTCTACTTGAAGATTTGGCAGTATTTAGTAGAGATGGGAATTTTTCTCTAGTAGAAGCTAAGGGAAAGATTGAGGATCTACAGGCCTCTAGGGTACAGAAAAAGAATTAGGAAGCTTTGAGTCACACATTTCTTCCCAATCTGCTTTGAAGGACAGTGACTTGGCCTTTTCCTTGAAAACTTAAATAAAGGTGCTAATTTGATGGTCAAGTAGAAAATTCCTTTTCCATTTTAGCAAACATGAGTTCTTACAGGAATTATTTATAGAAACTTGTTGTGAGTTCTGCTCTTAAATGCTGCTTTAATTTGTGCTAATTGGTGCTATCATAGATAGTCATTCAGAGCAAATACAAGTGTCCTAGGATTGTGCTGTGCATATGTGACATAGATTCACTTTGATGTTATTTATCAGTACGACATACTGTTAACCTAAAGAGGCCTGGGTTTAATGGTCTCTGCTTTGACTCTAGCTAGTCAAATAAGTAATTCAACTCCTTAGCCTCCACTTCACCACTTTATCTTACAGGTATGTCAGGGTTGAATGAGATAACTTGGCTAGTAGGAG